TGCAGCCTGCCATAAGCAGAGTATACAGAAGCTGACAGGTACTGAAAGGTTTGCCTAGGGTCACACCTCCTGAGCAAGGAGGGAGCTATCCCGGTGCCAACCCGGGGCCACTGTATTCCTAGACCCTCTCTGACAGCACACACCAGGGTATGCAAGAGACTGGTGGAGCTGTCCCCAAAGGACTTGAGTCCCCTATACGTGCTATATATTCCACAGAGAGGAGGAGAGACAAAGATCGTCCATCTTCTGGTTCATTCCCCAAATATCTGTAATAGCCAGAGCTAAAGCCAATCTGAAGCCAGGAGCCTCTTTTAGGTCTCCCACACAGGTGCAGGGTCCCAAGGCTTTGGGCCATCCTTGACTGCTTTCCCAAGCCACAAGCAGGGAGCTGTATGGGAAGCGGAACACCCGAGACACAAACCAGCGCCCATCTGGAATGCTGGAGCTTGCAAGGCTGAGCATTAGCCAGCTGAGCCATTGCAGCGGCCCCATTTTTACTTCCCCCAGCAGATGAGACAGTCTGGCACCTCTTTCCAGGTCTCTAGCAGGTTCCAAAGGGGGAATAATTGGGCAGGAAAGGACAGATTGCCCCAAGGCAGGGCTCCCCACCCAGCCCTCCTCTGGCTGCTCTGACCCCCACAGAGTATGTTGCTTCCTTTGAAGCCACAGGGACATTTTACAAATGGACTTCCTGATCTGAGGAATAATTACTTTCAGATGTGAACATGGAAAGACGTACGTAGTGACGACAACGGACGAGTGTAGGTTGAACAACACTATTTTCTCAGTGCCAAAAGAATTCTTTGAGGATCCTCTCATTTTCCATGCACTGCCGCATCAGTAGAGCTTGCAGCAGGGCAAGTTTACCAAGACAGAAGGAAGGACACTTACTGCCCTACAACCTTGAGCCCCCGTTTTTGTATCTGCAATAACTCCTAATTCTGACCTTCCCTCTTGGAGCCCTGGAAGCTGTATTCTGCACTTGTAAGCTAAAAATGCATGTGTATGTGTACAATGGCTTATAAGGCTCAAAAAATCTAATATGTAATGATTGTGTATACAAAGTATTTAGGCTTATCTGATTTAGAATCGTCAGACAATCTAAAGCGCACAATTCAGTCAGATCCAATTTGCCTTCCTGGACTTGTGGTATTGATGAACCCAGCCCAATCACTGTCAGCTCTCGCTTGCGTGGTGTGAAAGACGGGCAGACTGAGGACTTTGCTTACTTACGTGTATCCCAGCAGGATGTTGCCTTATTGGCGGAGTGCTTCATTGCTTTGCTCTGTTACTCTGGTTAGATTTGGTTCTTCTGGTTGTGTCTGACTTAGCTCCTGGGCTACCCATAGGTTGAGATTACAGATAATCAGATATTTTTTCTAGAACATTTATATGGAGAATTCCAAGTGAAACCCACCCTTCTTCTGCAAGACTTGCCTAGGTGTGGAACATGCACCTGGGGCAGAGGCAGCTACCCCAACTCCAACCCTGGGCCACTGTATCCACAGAACCGCTCCAGTGGGATGCATCGGGGAATGGAGCATTTGGCCTGGACTTCTGTCAGTGGCTTAGAAAAAAAAAAAAAAAGATTTAATTTGAAAGGTGGAGTTAGAGAGGAGACACATAGAGAAAAATGTGCTGGTTTACTCCCCAAATGGCAACAATGGGCAGAACTGGGCCAGTGTACAACCGGGGGCATGTAGGTGCAGAGGCTAGAAGACTTGGGCCTTCTTCCTCAGCTTTCTCAGGCACATCAGCAGGAAGCTGAATAGGAACTGGTGCAGCCATGACTCGAAACCAGCCCCCATGTAGTATGTTGGTACTGTAGACAGAGACTTAACCTACTATGTCGTGGTGCTGGCCCCTATGAATGACTTCCCGAGGCACCATTCAGATATATACAATTTCTGTTATTCTCCTGCCACCCCTTACTTTGAAAAGACAATACACACATACACACATATTCTGTTGAAGACATTCAAGTGAGTTTGTGGTTGATCAAAATGGGTTTCAATGCCTGACCCAGATTAATGGATCTCTCTCAACTCTGCCTTTCCAAATATATTTTTTAAATGCCAGATCAATCTATGTAAACCTGACTGTTTATAGACATCCAGCTTGTCTTTCTAGAGCCTCCTCCCTCTGCCTCCTGTGCCTTTCCTACCAGGAGAATATTCTCACCAAATACCTTCACCATCCAGGTGCAGCTGGGGCCTTCCTCCAGCCCCTGACATGAGAGCAGGCACCCTTCATAGTGCTGCCCTTTGACCTCTGGCTTTAGAATTCTTTGACTTCGGCTGAGAAATTCACCTTCAGTAGCAAAAACAGCGGGGTCATTTTCTCCTGTTTTAATTCACTCTTAGTTCATGGCTGTTGTCCAAACAGCCTGAATAGCCCTAACAGTTTAGAATCATAAGAATGGCCTCTTTTTTTTTTTTTTTTGCCTTGTAATTTAAGAATGTCCATGCTTGCAACAGTGTCTTTTTGTTTTGTTTTGTTTTAATTTTGAACATGATACACAGTAAGGAATACAATTTGTGTTTCAGGACTTAAGTGTCCTCGCTCTGCCTCCACCCACCTTGACAAGGACTTCCCAAGGCTTAGCAAAACACTTCCTGCCCCTTTTCTGTGTCATGCACACCAATGTCCTCTCGCCACACATTTTATTTTCCTATTTCCTATAACACCAATCTCACAGACCCCTGAGGGCTAGGAGTCCAAGGTTTGAAAATGTTGCTATGGAGCATCCAGCCCCTATTCTATAACCAACAAATGTTCATTGCTACAACCATCTAAATGCTCTTGATGAATCCTTCCCACAGCCCTCAACCTCTTCCTGCCTCCCCAATATGCACACGCCATGAGGAGGAGGAAGCCAGAGGCCTGCACATGCGCAGTCCTTCTCCAATACTCTGAAAATCTTTGCAGTCTCCACTTCCCTGACCTCATTAGACTCAGACTGTTCTTCATAGGAAGTGATTTACATTTAAGAAAAGGTCAGAAGAGTATTTTCCTTGCACAATATATTACTTCCTGCAATTCATCAAAATTCTTTTCATGGGTAAAGGTCACTTTTTATTTATGTATGGCATCTGTGTGTGTTTTTGCTGAAAAGGGTGTGGCTCTCAAAACATAAATCAGACCTTGGCTGTTTGTGGAAAAGCTCGGGCAGAACTGATTGGGAGGTCATGGGGATAGCATGGTGGCAAGAGGTACCAGGGTCATGGGACTCAGCCCTTTGGAATCTAACACAGGGAAAGATGCAAACCAAAAACCTGGGCAGGTGCCTAGGGCTTGGCATTTGTTAGGGGTTGCAAGGTTCTTTCATGTAGTACTTGGCAAAGGAAGCACTTGGGTCCTATTGGGAGACAAGATGGTAGGTTGAAACACTGAACTGACCTCCTCTGCAGGTTTTACTGCATAAAATCAGTGCCCCACTTTTTTTTTTTAAATTCCTATGTAGTTGCTAATAGCTGGGATACAAGACTCAGTTGTCTAGATTTGACTTCAGGACCCTGTGCCTAACAGATCTATGACTTTGAATGGGTTGCTTACCTCTCTGTGCCACTCTTAATCTACAAAATCCCAGGAATAGCCTTCTGAGGTACTCCTGGCATTGAATTAGTTAACATTTGGAAGTCATTTCCTATTCATTCCTTGTATATAGTCAACTGGCTCTAAGTACTGGTTAAATAAATTATTTAAGTAGAGATTAAAACACGTCAACACTTTTGACTCCCCACTTCCAGGCAAGGGAAATACAAACAAACTTGAAAATTAACATTGAAGAAGTCACAGTAACTCACTGTCCTGTTTGGTCATCAAGGCGTAGATTTGAAACCCATCCCCGGTGAAAAAGAACCACTTCAAAAGAAAGGAGGGGGAGTAATATCTCAACCTCGAGGCTAGAGTAGAAGAGCGAACTGTGTGAAAAACATAAGACAGAGCTGTGGGTGACACCTCCAGGCCAGACAGGGCTTGGGGACCACCCAGTGCAGTCCAGCAGGAGAAAACTGAGTGCGCTCCAAACCCAGTCCTTGGGAATATGGATGTGGCAGCACACTTTGGGGCAGAACAATTGAGCCACATGTACAAAAATTGTTTTCTAAAAAATTATTTTAATAAGGTCCACAGAGATGACTGATCCTATAGACAAAAGTCCATAGAAAGGGGAAAAATTGAAAAGATCTAAGATCGTTCCAGTTAATCCCCCAGAGAACTAAGAAACTTGTCTCATGGTGAAATGGGTTCTTTTTAAAAACATTAAGGTGGAAATAAGACCACTGAATTATTGAAAAACACCCTGACATTTTATTACTTCCATGGAATATATGAAGGTATAATGTGGGCATACATGTGTGGGCCCACATATCTTCATATTTAACATGTCCATGGTCAACACATGCCAAAGTATGTATATATGTATACACATGTTTTAATAACTGTCTTTTTTTTTAAGTTCCTTAAGTGATATTAAGAGGTGAAAAGGTCAGCTAAAGTTAAATGGTGCAAGCATTAAACTTGACAATACGTAGAAATTACTTATGAATTTGGGTGTAGCATGGAGTCCCTAAGATCACTGGTTTCAAGACTTGCAGCCTAGCCTGGAGACGCAGCTGGGCCCGTGCCAGCAGTCACAGGGAGCTACTTTTGATGTCAATAGCAGCTTTGTATGAGAGTGGAAAGAATGCAGCCCCTGACCAGGGAAGCCCCTCATTTCTCAGGCTGCACTCTGCCATCGTCCCATGGGTGGGATACTCACTGACTATGGGCACGGGCTTGGGTGGCTGCAGATGGCCTCTGGCCTGCGAAGGCCATCACGGCTGCAGAGGGAAGGGAAGTTTCCTTTCAGACAACCCTGTGGATTTTTCTTCATCTCCTGTCTTACCTGTGTTGCCTCCTGGTTCCCTGCAAGTCAAGTTGCTTGCATCATGCTGACTTTGTGATATCTGTTTGTATTTTTTTGAAGTTTTGCTTCTCTGACCCCCAGCCCTTTTTTAGGCATCTTCAGATAGGGTTTTTGGCCTTGCTGCTTTTCACTTCTTCTCTGCTCTTGGTCTGTTAGTCCATTGCTGTAACAAAACATAATTGAATCTGTGTGATTTGTAATGAAAGGACACTTACTTAGTTTGTGGTGGTGAGGCTGAAAGTTCTACCTGTGTGGCACTGGCTTCATCCAGGGCCCCCGTGCTTACGTGATGTCATGGAGGGTGACAGGGGGGCAACAGGAAGCCCAGGGGGGATGCGGGAGTCAGACCCACTGTGGGAACTTATTGGGGGCATCATGAGAAATGTTAGTCCATTCCAATGGCAGTCACTCCATGCAACTGCCTCCAACCTCTTACAGCAGACTAAATTTCCAGATATGCACTCTTAGGGAATAAGCCACATGCAGAGCTGAACTGCATAGCATGGTACTTGTTTATCTTCTCATTCAGAGCATCTCTCCAATGCTGTTCATGACCTTCCAAATGCAGTTTCTGCACTTCAGAATCACAAAGACTGTGGGAGGCAGATGGTGACTGCCAGTAGTTTCTCTGGTGCTAGAGGGAAAAAGACACTCCTAGACCTCAGTGGGGATCTGTTTAGAAGTGGCTGCTCGATAGTGAAGTTTCTTTCATGGTTAAGATTTATTTTGTTTAAAAGGTAGACTGGTGGGTGAGCAAGGAGGGGTAGGCAGGTAGAAGAGAGATCTTCCATCCATTGGTTCACTCCCCAAATGGCTGCAACAGCTTGGCCAGGACACAGCCAGGAATAAAAGCTTCATCCAGGTCTCCCAGTGGTCACAGGGGCCCAAGGGCTTGGACTGTCATCCATTGCTTTCTCAGGTACATCAGAAGAAATTTGAATAGATGTGGAGCAACTGACACTCAAATCAGCACTCATATGGAATGCTGACATGGCAGGTGGCAGCTTAACCAATTATACAACACTGCTCTTCACTCCGGGATTCCTTACAAATGTAAGCATCCTTTTCAGCACTGCTCTTGGCTTCTTTACACACTGATAGTGTTAACCATTTGCTTCCTGGATTTCCTGGCCTGTGGCCCCTTCCATCTTCCAGGAGAGCAGCCACTGGGTAAGGCTTGCTCATGTTGCCTGACTATGACGTGTGTCCGTCCTCTCATCTCCTGCTCCAACTCTCCCTAAGGCCCCTGCAATTGTAGTGAGTCCCCTGGAATAACAAGCATCACTTTCCCGGGTCAATACCAGCAGAGGCCCTTTGGCCATTGCAGGGAGAGATGTGCACAGGTTCTAGGGACCAAAATACAGCCATCTGTGGAGAAGCCGTTATTCTGCCCAACCCAGGAAAAAAAAATGTTTCCTTTTAAAAGCAAAAGAAAACAATTAAATTTCAGGAAGAAAAATAGCTTAAGGCAGGATATTTGCATATTTGTCTTTGCACCAACAGAGGATGATACAATTTTTTTAAGTAAGGATTAAAGGGCCCCAAAATTTAAAAGAAAAAATGCTGTATCCCGGAGAAGCCCTCAGGCCTATTCCTGCAATGCGACCAGAACAGCATACAAGGATACAAGGGTAGACCCAGGAAAAGTACCCAGCACCATAAACCCAGCCCTGGCCCAGTGTGGTCATCAGGAATTCATCCCGGAGCATGTTTTTGCCAAGGATAAAGTGGTGTGAAGGGAAAAACCACTTAACTAGCATCTTCTAAGACCCATAGAAGCTACCGAAGGGTGTGTAGTCTGACACAAGTGATACACATTCTGACTCTCTGGCTCACTTTCTGAGAGGTCTTGTAGGTTATTCATGCAAGGAGTGATGTGAACATCCCATCTTGGACCCTGCACCCTTTCCTGCTTCCCCTCCCCTACAGCTTACGAAATTCACGCCTTTCTGGTTGTCCACCAGTCAGAAGTAACCTGGCACCTTACCTGAGAATCCTACACCCAGTCTCTCCTGGGCCCCTTTCCTAACCCCTGCCCACTTACTAATCATCCTTAGGCAATCACCTGTGACAATCTCAGGCAGCAATCCCCTGGGGCTGCCCTCAATCCTCCTAATACCCCCCAACACACAGACACCTTGCAGGCTCGCCTGAATGACAAAGGGCCCCCAGATGCCCCTCTCTCATCCTCTTTGCTCTCCCACCAACCCTGTCTTCCTCCATCTTGTCCCTCCCCCTGCCCTAGCAGCCCCCGTCCTGCCACCATGGCAGGAGATGTGTCCCTTCCAGTTTTTTCCCCCTCCATCCCTGGTCCTGTTCTTACCCTGCTGCATCGCCTAATATCTCCTCGTGTCTGGTATTTCGGCTTGCGGTAAACTAATCGTGAAAAGAGGACTTGGCTGCGGGAATTAGCTGTGCATAACAACATAAAAACTTTAAGTGCACTTAAAACCTAACAATTCAGGCCCGGCGTGATAGCATAGTGGTTAAAGTCCTTGCCCCATATGCACGCCGGTTCTAATCCCAGCGGCCCCATTTCCCATCCAACTTCCTGCTTGTGGCCTGGGAAAGCAGTCGAGGATGGCCCAATCCTTGGGGCCCTGCACCTGCATGGGAGACCCAAAAGAGTTCCTGGTTCCTGGCTCCGGATCAGCTCAGCTCCAGCCATTGCGGCCACTTGGGGAGTGAACCATCGGGCGGAAGATCTTCTTCTCTGTTTCTCCTCCTCTCTGTATATCTGGCTTTCCAATAAAAATAAATCTTAAAAGCTAATAATTCAATTTTCCAAGCATTGATTTCCTTACCGAGGATATTGCTTTTTCTTTCTTAGGATTACTTTGAGGAACAAATGGGAGAAAACATGGAGTCCTCACCAGAGAACTGGGAAAGTGGTAAGCACTTAAGTGTCTGTTATTGTTGTTACTATTTTGATGACTTTTTAGTTATAATTGTTAAATAGACAGTGGCCTCAGACCAATTGATGGGTTGGTAATGGAAAGCAAAAACAGAGCCATCCTTTTCCCAAGAGACAGCTGTTCAGTGTGGCAGCCATGTATCACCAATGGCTACTTAAATGAATGAGAATTAAAATAGGGAATGCAGCTCCTGCCACAACTGCTGCATTTCAAAGACTAGAAAGGTACAGGTGGCTGCTGGCTACCATGCTGAATGTGCAGGTGTGGCATGCTTCCATCATCCAGAACATTCCACTGCACAGAGCTGATCCAGCTATGGTAGTTGTCCTCACAACCTATTATAATATGACCTAATATAAGCCATGGCACAATCATATTTGGTGGGTCATAAGCCTGAGAAACACTGAGAAATGTTCTCAATTAGAGGCTCCAATTCGTTGCTACAAATTCTCTGTATGCATGCATTCACGAGATCCATGTGTGTGTGAACTCTGGGTATATGCTTAAATGATGAATATCTACCTCTCTCAGCTAATATGAAGAATGAGTAACCCAAAAAATTAGCAAACCAAAGGCTTAACCAAAAGGTTATTTCATTTTTCTCCGTATTTTTAACTGCATTTACAGGAAGAAATCTATTTTATATTGTGATCCAATAGTTTCAATTGTGCTCACATGTGCTGCTCCAGCTTTCACAAAACTGTATCAGCCCTTACTATCTGCAGTGTATTCTGATGCCTTCTATTTCTCCCTTTGCCTCCCCCTTCTCCTTTCCCTGCTTGGGTGCTGGTTCCTTGGGCACCGCTTTTACTCCTGACAATGGAATGAACTACAGTTTGAAAAGTACTGATTAAATTGCAGGTGGCAGGTGAGTTGAGAGCACTGTGGCAGCAAGAACTTGAAGCCCCTAGAATAGAGAATATTCAGCACAAGCTGGTCCTGCTGATGTCCGAATGTGGCCAGAACAGCTGATCGTTGAAGAGAAGTCCAATAGTTAGACATTTTTGTGACACTTTCCCCATTTAACAGTGCAGCATGTCAGTCTTTACAACTTTAAGCATTTGCCAACCAGATGAAACGAGTCTCATATCTGAGGGCAGATTAATTCCCTCGTCCCAGGAGTAGAACTGGAAGCAACTTTTTCCTCTAACGGAGAACCTGAAATCCCCACAACCTGGGGGAATCCAATCCAATCCATCCAATCTCTCATGACCCAAGAAAGGAGAAACCAAGGGTCCTCCACAGGAGCAGAAAGAACCCTGACTCCTACAAGAAGGCGGAGCTAGGTGCCCACTGGTGGCCGAGGGCAGGTACAGGAGGAGACATGCAGAGTGGCCACCAGAGGCCGGGCAGGTGGTGAGCACAGTCCAGCAGCACGGAGTCTTTAGGACCTAGGGTATCTCCTTGTCTAGAGGATGGAGCCAGTCCCGGCTCTAGGCTGTCCCCCAGCAATGGCATTAGGCCCTTTGTCCTTGAACACTAGGCCAGAATGACAACTAATTAAGCTAAACTAGTAAAACATTCAGAAGCCAAGGCCCAAGATCTTTAATGCCTTTAAAAAAAAGGTCAGGCCCACCACGATAGCCTAGTAGATAAAGTTCTCACCTTGTACATACAGGGAACCCAATTGGGCAATGGTTTGTATCCCAGCTGCTCCATTTCTCATCGAGCTCCTGGCTTGTGGCCTAGGAAAGCAGCAGAGGATGGCCCAAAGCCTTGGGACCCTGCATCTGTGTGGGAGACCCAGAAGCAGCTCCTAGCTCCGGGCTTTGGATCAGCTCAGCTCTGGCCATTGTGGCCATTTGGGTAATGAACCAGTGGATGGAAGATCTTTCCCTCTGTCTCTCCTTTTCTTTGTATACCTGACTTTCCAACAAAGGCAAATCTTAAGGAAACAAATAAAAATAAAAGGCCTTCCAAATGCTGGTTCACCCTCCAAATGGTCACAATGATGCAAGGCTGGGTCACACTGAAGCCAAGAGCTTCTTCTGGCTCTCTCATGTGGCAGTATGGACCTAGGGACTCAGACTCTCTGCTGCTGTTTTCCCAGGCACGTTAGCAAGGAGCTGGATTGGAAGTCAAACCGGCACCCATTTGGAATGCTGGCACTGCAGGCAGAGGGCTACCTTGCTATTCTATGGTGTTGATCCCAAGGCATAGAAGTCGACCACTCATTTAAAAACATTTAGAATTAAAACACTTGAAGTGTAAACCCTACAACCATTTAATTAAAAGGCTATGTCAGCCA